TCAGGACTCAATCTAAACGCCTCGAAAAAGCAAAAACCAACATTAAATCACAGAAATGATTCTAACATTTGACCTCCTATGTAGCTATGAATAAATGCACCTATCCACTATACTATCTACCACCTACACTTGCTCTTTTCCGACCCACCCCACTTTCTCCTTTTCCTGCGAATGAAAAAAGGAAAATGAAGGATGCTGTAGTGAGAGAAGCTCTGTACAACAGGATTGCTGCCAGTTCGGAAGACTGAGCTACACCTCAACGTGCTCCAAGGTGCGTTACCTGGTACGCACCTCACTGCAAACGAACGGACTGTCCTGTGGACCCATTCTTGCGGTATAAATGCAGTACCTTTCAGCGTCTGGAGCACAGTTGAATAATTGGAAAACGAAGTAGTTGACACCAAGCTTCTTCAGCGTCTCATGCAACTCATTGATAGGCTTTTTACTAAACATTGAGTACAGCAGCTTAGTTCGATTCCTGAAAACATAGCATTTGTTCTGAAGTCATTTTTCGCCCGAAATGAATTAGGAGACAGTGAATGGCAGTGACAGTACTTCTATTTGCTGCTAAAAGCTGGGCCCTTAAGGAGCCGAATAGGAACCTCTACGTATTTTAATTGTTTCTGCACATGCACAGGAAAACGGCTAGATTCTAGGTGCCAATAAACTTGACGTGGACATTTGAAGGATCTCTTAGGCTACACTGGGATTACTGTACTTGAAATTGTTCTCCCTCCAAGGCACCTGCTCGTGTGCTCCTACCACAACCAAAAGTTTACCAAGCGAAGAATATTGTACTGACCTAATTCCGACATCCTCATAGTGCGGATGATTCGCAATGGGTCGAAGAGTAGTCAACTTGACATTTGCCATCACTGGCATCGTTCCAGCAAAAACCGCGTCTAAAATTCGTCTTGTCAAAAGTAACTGCGACAAAACGAAGACGTCATCAAATTTGCTGAGACAAATGTAATCTAAGGAATGGGAGGGAGGGGGTGCGAGCGCAGTCTAGTTGCACCCAGGGTACAGCATCGGACAAGACAACCTTCCTCAAAAGTTCCCCAAACCTAGAGGCATGGTAAATAGTATAGGGAGTGGGGCGACCACGCCCTCCTTATACTATTTACCATGCTGCTAGGTTTTTCCAACTTTCTACCCCTCCCCAAAAAATTTCCAGCTTTCATCCCGAAAAACTGTCGAGAGGGGGGAGGGGAAAGTTGATCACCACCAGCCAACTATGAGCTTTAACCACGGGAACTTGCATTTGTGTGATAGTTTTGCAGAGACGGCAACCGCGCGGAGGGGGTGAGGTTATAGCGAACATATCGAACCGAGAATGTCAATAGCCGGAAAAAATTCCTGGCGACTGGGTAAAATCATTCTCAAAAGCATATACACCTCCTCTTCGCAGCGAACACGTACAAACCCTCCCCTTTCCACTGATGGGGTTCCCCTTAGAATGTTGTACCACGGTTGCAGTGCCGCGTGACCCCATCAACTACTTGCTTCTCTGGATTTCATTGAATACATAGGAAAAAACGTTCCTACATGAAAATCGGAATCAGCACATGAGACTTCACCCGGATAATCGTGGTTAGGACAACTATGTACACACTCCAAACTCCTAAGGCAGACATGCATCAGTGGAGGCAAATGCACATACCTGGTTTGGTTTCTCTCATGATCCATTCGAAGAGCTGTTCTTGTTCGGGATTACTGTACTCTCCTGATATTTTGAAGCTGCTTTTCGATATTCGACTTTCCTGAAACAAGAGCAAATCCGTTTATTAGTGCTTATCCATGAAATGAAAACTCCCAGGAATAGTCAGACCTTCATAAGCCATTACGGCAATCAGTGCGACAACGACTATGGCGTGTATGCGCTTATCAAGATGGACATTGATTGTGCGAAGAAGCTGTAAAGGAATGAGTAAGTCATTAATGCGAATCGAACACGATCTTCGAAATCGCACTGAGGTTGCGTTCATACTTTGCGGCAGCGTCCACCAGCGTCCAGCAGGGTCCACCAGCGACCACTAGCTTTCCGAACGTCTGGCAGCTTCAGCGAAATTCAGCGACCAAGCAGCGTCTACAGGCATCAACAGCGATCAGCATGCGACCGCGAAGAGGAGTGCAAGGCGCGGTTAAGAAGGGTAGCAAAACAGCTGGTAGAGGCTGGGGAGACCGGGAGGGCAGCACACTGCTTGATGGGTCGTGGGGCGATAGGTCGGTTACTTCCCTGTACCCGCTATACTCTCTCCTCCTGGACATTGTGGTCGCTGCTGGACGCTGGTAGACGCTGCTGGTCGCTCAGTCGATACCTATACTTTCCTAATCGCTGAAGCTGTCGGACGCTCGTAATGCTGGTGATCGCTGGTGAACGCTGCCCCAAAGTATAAACCTAAGGGTCATGACTCTTGCGGCCACACAGGTGGACTATGTAGAGGCACATTCCGCGCTGAACGTATGAGCGGGTCCGACTGACTTTTTGCTTTCTCATCAGCCCGCTTTTTGCAGTGCGAAGGTTTCACGTAAGCGCGCGCACTGCGTTGTCCACCACTGCTAACAGTGTGTGGCTGACTCGAACGATGGGTATTGACGCCAAGTACGGCGCTACAATGGCATTGCTTGTCATTTCTTGTCATTCGATGAACGCCACATGCGATGTGCCTCTATAATTTCATCGCCTTTAGAGGCAGACTGTGCATTCATAGTGCAAAGGTGTACTGATCTACAGCTGCAGTAGCGCGTCACTTTCTTGCCGAACAGGGCTGGACGGTTAGTTGATTACCCGAGTGGCGTTCTCCATACATGGCCCACGCTTCAGGCAGAGCAGTCTGCTCATATCAGAGCCAAGAACACCACCTGAGGCATCATGGACTTTTCCGCGTGGCGCTTATCGACCAGTAGTACGCATATCTGCAGCTGCAGAGGCATCGGCCATCACATATGCAAGAACCAGGGTCCACGAAGGTGAATGTGTCTTCGATACCCCACTCAGTTCCTTACAATGACCTTTACCAGTCCCATCAATTTACACTGGTAATGCACATTGTGATATTGTTATCTCACATTGTGTTACCGATTGCCGAGTTTGGTTATACTTCACGCGTCTGACTTACTCATGAAGGCCACATTCCACGCCTTATCGTGTGGGCAGCATACGTAGCATTCAGTCAATATGCCTTCCTCATGCAGCACGTGTCATCCGTTCTAGGGAATTGGAAAGAGGGCGCGCATCGTCAATAAGGGCACAGCAATTGGTTTCTATCGCCCCTACGAAATGTTTCAGTTGCCAGTGCTTATTAAAAGGAGATTCACGAATACGGAGAGAAACAACTAGGGTTTGATGGTGCAGTATTTCCGAGCACAACAAACTTGAGATACTGCTGCCTGATGAAATACATTTTAGGTCCTTATGGCCACAATTGTTGGGCACGATCTTGCTTCAACTTATCTACAGCTTTCCGCGGTGGAGAAGCATTTTGGGGGTATAGTGAATAGTAATCGGCCACAGACCAAGAAATGGAAGCGTGGGTGATGTCTCAAAGCAGGGATGGTGCCAGTGAATGTGATCAAATTTGTCGGTTGTTCGCTCCCGATGTAGAAATTTCATACCTCTAGCAGTGTGAGAGGTAAGCGCCATAACTTGCGTTCAAAACACTTCTTCTCAAAGGATTTTTCAAAAAGGTGATAGATTATGCTATGTGCTACAGAGTATACTAAGAATCACCTGTGTTGTTGCTAAAGTGGCAGAGCAGACAACATAGATGAGGTGTGAAGAACAGCTTCAATCGCATAATTAGCACTGCCATTACAGCATAACAGGCCGCCTGTACAACGTTGTAGAAAACCTAGAATGAGAGATAACCTCCACTTCGTAAAAACACCCTTCCATTTTCAGGTTTCCTTTAAGAATGATAGTTTCCCCCGCTGATCACATGGTGGATCAGTCTCCCTTCGCATTGAGCCCCTCGGACGGCCAATGAGAACAATGAACGAAATTTCCGAGATACGCTGCGATCAAATCACTCCAATTGTCTTACCTCTGCATGTGGCTTTTCTTTTTCTCCATTTCTATACAGTAACTCATTCTTCTCTGAGAAAAAGAAGGCAACAATGAACAAGAGAATGCCCAACATAGCCGCAGGAAGTAGCCATGTCGCAAACAGCCTTTTGCCGAGGGTCTGAAATTATGAAAGCTGCACGAAAGAGCATTCATTTCAATCAGAACTATATAGCCCTTGCAGTGTCTTTACCTCAAACGATATGAAGTCGAATTCCTTTGAGCATGTGTAAAGGCGTGTGTGGAATGTCGAGTAGTTAGTGAATTTTGATCGTAGTATGTCGAAAAATATGTGCCTGAAGTGGACAAAATAGCACGCATTGAAGTGCACGCCTGATACATAAGCATTATGAAAGCAAGAGAGAGCTCCATGTGCAGCCGCGCGCGGTTACGTATACAGGGGGAGGCAATAAAAAAGACACTTTGGCCGAGTCACATATCAGTAAAGTTTACGCAGCCCAGATAGAAGACGTGGATACGAGTACCAGGGCGGAAGATACCCAAGATGTTCCTCGATAAGCAGGAGCAGGCTCTCGTCCATCACCTTCATGTACACCAAAATATGAAGCCATCTCCAATCGCAGCCTGACTGGAGAAGGCCTATGGATTCACGTCACCTCCAAACAGCTGCGAAACTTCTTGTATGGAGTCACCCATGGACAGCTACCTGGAGACCAGCACTCTTGATCTGGAAGACCTCCAACATCGAGCAGCTCCGACAACGTCGCTACGGTCCAGGATATCATCTTCACCGCAGTCGCCAAGGCGCGGGTTGATGGTATGGACCGGAAGTTCCTGGAATGGGAACCGATATTTTCTTCGTGGACCCCGGACTGAAAGTGAGCGCTGACGGTTACATCGACCAACTCGTGGAGAATATCCTGCCATGTCGTCGCCCGTACCATCTTGGAAACTTCGTACTGCTACAGGATTGGGTGCCACCACACGGAATCGAAGGGCGTTGGAAAAACCCTCGCCTACTTGGAATCGAAGCGTTGAGTACCTGAAGAAGACGGAATATCCAAGTGTGCCACCTGCCCTGAACCCCTCGATTACCGGGTTCGGGAGGAGCTCAACAGGGTGGTCTACAGTGGCGGAGAAATCAACGACCTCGCTGAACTCAGGCACCACGGTCGCGTGGCAGAATCTCTCGATGGCGCTCGTCCAGAAGGCTGTGGCGGAGTATCGTGATAGTGTACAATGTGTTGTTGAATATGATGGTGGAAATGTCCAATCAGAATTTAATAAAGTGTAACTTATAGCGCCTTGAAAGTCGAGAAGAAAAGTGTCTTTTTTATTGCCCCCCCCCTGTACTTGCATCGCTTATGCTAAATTGAATGCTTGTTCAGTAGTGAAGTTCCTAGATGTGGAAATTTACCGGCAACCAACGCAGCGCTGAATTTAGTCAAGACAGGCGAGGGCGGCACGGCACAAGTTGAAGATACGTACGGTACCTTCAAACTGCCCCCTCCGTAAGAGAGGAGCTATGTTAGCGGTCGTGTTCGTAAGTGAATTCCACTAGGAACGACTGGCAATCACAAGACTTGTCGTCAATGATCAGGTCGCAACGACTACAACTGAGCTGCATCTGTGGAAGTGAGGGGGATGGGGAACAGTAAGAGGTACCTTGTGCGGTTGCGTCGGGATGGCTTGTGGCTGACCTGAGCAGCAACTACATTGCACCATCAATAGAGGCAGTCCCACGGAGGTACGTTCCGACTAGTCAAGGTTGGTCAATAGCGAAAAGCGAC